GAAGTAGAGTAATATTAAAGATACACCAACGATTTTATTATTTTTGAATGCTCTAATGACCTTACAAACACGATACCCAGATTAACAGAAAGTAAATTTTTTTAAAATTATTAATAAATAGATTAAAAATTGAATTGTGATTAACATTACAATGGCATCTTCGACATCCCCAATCTCAATGGAATTAAACATGCAGATACTTTCTATTGTTTCGGCTCTTCCATGAATAATAATGGTAGAAATGAAGAAAAAACACACAAAAAAAAAACAATTTTGAAGAATGTAGCAAAGATCTATGGTAAAATCATATAAGATCTGCNAGAGGCCAAAAGCATTGTTTTGTATTTAATTCAAATACATATTTGCTGGATGATTGTATGCATGGTATGTAGTTTTTTAATGTAACTAACTACTAATAACATCAGTTTTGAAACTTTTTTTTTATCAATTCTTTCACATTATTTAAATTAGAATAATGAATGTATAAGAATTATATTTTATTTGCATGGTTGCTGCAAAAATATATTAGGATGTCCTGATGTCTAATGTAGTAAGATATTAGCTTACTGCTTTTTGGAATTAGATTTGAATCCAGAACATTTTCAAAGATGGAAAATGGTGATTGTCAGTAAAAAGTTGGATTACTAACCTTTGAGAAACTAGCTTGATATTCTGTCAACTGAGAATTCTGATTGAACAGTTACAATTAAATTAATTATCCAAATTTGCTGGTAACATTAAAAGTATAATCTATGCTAATTCTTGAAACGATTGATAATGATATAAATTTAGATGTTGACATTTAATATTATCTCATAAATTTGTATTGTATGATTTTGATCGATAGTGTTGAAGGTTGTAGATGTGTGATATTTGCATCACATAATTTCAGATTCATTCATAATTGTTTAGGTTATCTCAAATAGCAGAGTATTGCATTGTTTTTCTAGATCATTTGTTGAAGTATGTTATTGGACAATTTCATTTTTATCAGTAGTTTAGTTTTACAATTTTCATAAGATATAGATCTTTGCCCACATTTCAAATTGTCTGGTCCTATCAATACCAATCAGATAAAACCTATCTGGTTTTACTTTTTTTTTTCAGGTTTGCACTTGATTAATGGGGTGTCTGCATAGAGTCTTTCAGATTTTTTTTCGTGTGTCTAGCACTTAAATAGGAACTAGTTTTCCGTAGAAAATTCTCCCAGAATGTACTTCTTGGCAGATTGCCCTTGTGTCTATTACATTAGCAAATCAAATAAAAGTATATAAACAAGTTGTCTGGATTTTTATAATCCAGTGTTAAAATTCAAAAGTTAATTTAATGTTATACTGTGAAATGAATGATAATGTGATATCACTTCCAGTAATCTTTATTTTATGTCATTATGCAACAGATTAAATGCATATTTCAGAATAAAGAAACTAATTCAACTATGAATTTATTTCATCCAGAACACTGATTCACATGATTAAAACCATACAGGTTATAATTAGGATTACATATACTGATGATACAATCTTGTTAGTTGTACATAAATATAAACTTGTAGATAATAACATAAAAGGCTTCAGTGGTGCAAATAACATTTTATCTATTTCTGTCGTTATCTGCTGCTTCCAATTTTTTATATTTAAAGATGAGTCTGCATTTTATTTTTACATTTACATCTTTATTTATTTTGTCATTTATTCAAGAAAAGCTATATCAGAAGTACCTAATATAAGAAGAATTAATCAATTTCCAAGACATAATAAGTATCACCTTAAAAAAGATTGTTAGAAAAGCATGAACAGTAACTACCACATAAGAAATCTTTGTTCTCTTAGAAAATAGAACAATACACATACCATTAATAGAAATAATAACACACAATAATAGAAAATAAAAATTAGCATTAATTAAATACCTAAAAATTGGATAAAATAATTTTTTTAAGTTATTAAAATCTGAAAAAAAATTTCAGCATCAGACATTGAATATAAATATCTGTAGAAAAAAGTTTTTAGACTTTAGACAAATATATAAAAAGTCAATAAATAGACAATAGAGTCATCTTCAGACATTATACATTAGAGTGAAATGAAATTTGATAATTCATCTAGTGTTTTGTTAAGTCTTATTACTGAATTATCTTAAATGTTAACACTGAAGGTGTTGAGTAAAGTACTTGATTAAATTATTAAAAAAAAAAATAATATATTAGTATAACATGAAGGACAAAACTCAATTTTAAGATTATCATGCACTAGCAATCTATTGAAATATCAGTAGAATAATAATATGCTATAGTCTAAACGTTTTGTGATTGATAAAAAAGTAAATAATAATTAATTATATCAGCTAATTCGTTAGTTGAACTGATGCTACAGAAATAAAGTGTTGGTTCGTTTAACATTTCATTTTAATTATATTAATATACCAGACAATCATAATTAAAGTACACCTATTCAAACTATTCAGAGAGATTTAGAAGTCTCAATGTGACCAAATCTAGTATAGTGATATTTTCATTAAAAAATTAGTACCAAAACTTATCCTCCAAATCATAATTCATGTGATTTTTGGTTGTGAGGACTTAAAAAGTATAGTTTATCAAGGATGTGTTACAAATTTGGTTGCCTTGAAGGAGAGTACCACAGTATTACACTGCATATGAGAATTATCACAGAGGATCAATTACAATCAGCCATTGAACACACTCATTATTTCCTTCGGCTTTTAGATCTTCAGAATGAGGACCACATTAACCAGGATGCCCTGTATTGCTGTCTCTGTGTAGCAGATAAATAACACCTTATCCTTGCCGAGAAATATATTTAATTCAAAAACAAACATTTTCAGCCTGATTTACAGGCGCCATCCTCATGTTGAGAACGAAATCAGAACTAAAGCATTCCATTAATAGAATACAAAATTCAAATTAAAAATTAAATAACCAACAGAATAACATAAAAATAAAAAATATGTACAGTACATAGAAGTATTAAGAAATACAATAACTAACAAATAACATAACACCTCTAATAAAGTTACTATTTTAACTGGTTAGAGTTCTTAGTAAATTTTTTAACCATAAACTTCCACGCAGAGGGAAGACTTTCGGCATCCCTCGCATTCAAACATCCTTCCTGTAGTTTACTCCTATAAATCTGAATATTTTCAGCAGTCATCACCAAAGATGGGGACGATAAAGGTTCGATGATGGCTGCCTCATTTCATTTGACTACAGAGCCTTGTGCTTGTGCCATTTGGGACAAAATTGTTGCATTAGACTCCTTTCTGATATTATAACTATGTTTCTTTAGTCTAAGTCCCAAACTCCTGGTGGTTACTCCAATATAGTCTTTTTTAATATCCAATTGCATATATTCTCATAAGGAATTCTATAAACTTCTGCTTTCTCCTCTGACTTTATACAATCTTTATCATTTCTCAGGATTTTATATAAATTTGGGGCCCTCTTTATAGTCATTCTCAAGTCTTTTCTGTCAGCATCCTCTTTCATAACCCTATTATAGGTAAATTTCACGACTCCAGTGGGAACACTTTTAAATGATCTTTTCTTGATGTTCGCCTCATACTTCTTAACCATTTTTAGAATTGTGCTTTTTTGGTAACCCAGGGTCTGGGCCACATTCATTATTCTTTCTTTAGCCATGTCTTGGACTCTGTCACAATACAAAAATGCCCTTCTTATTAAAGCTTGGAAAGCTGCAATTTTATACTTATATGGATCCCTGGATTGGGAGGGAATATACAATGGGCTGTGGGATGGTTTAATAAAAGTGCTAGTGGATAAATGGCCTTTTTTGAACTTGATACTGATGTCTAGAAAATGCACATCTAAGGAACTCTTCTGTTCCAATCTTTGTTTTTGAAATAAATATATTTCTCGGCAAGGATAAGGTGTTATTTATCTGTTTGGTGATTTGCTGAATACTTTATGATAATCTCTGTATAGCTTTGAGTATCTTATACAAATAAAATGTTGATTTCTTGTATTGCCAAAAGTGCTACTGAGATTTTTTGGTACTTTTCTACATTATTTTTGTTTTATAGAAGTGTGTTCCACTTGTTCTGAAATGTCATTGCTCAGTTTTTGTTGCAGTTAGACTGTTAAATATCTCTCTTAAAGCACTGAATAGATGAAATTTGTTCATGATCATAATAGTCATATAAAAATTATTATGGCAAATAATCAAAAATTTTTTGAACGTTTATAGAAAACAATTGTTTTTTTGCACTCGAGAACCTTAGGAGTCCATTAACAACAGCACAATTGTTTTTTATAATTCATTAGTAAACAAAATTAATTAATTTTATCAAATTTGTGCTTACATTTTAAAAAGCTGTATATTTTTATAACTAACTTGTTAATTAACTGAACATTGTTAACTTTAATATCTCCTAGCTCTATTCGTTTCCTGAATCTAATTATATTTCAATGGAAAGCTACATTTTCCTATTACATATGATAAAATTATGTCAAACTTAAAAGATAAAAAGTCTGATAGGCATTACATCATTCTAATGTGAGGCCAAAAAGAGTATGTAGGCAAAACGGTTAACATTTTTATCATAAGACTACTGTTTAGTAGGAGAAAATAAACTATAATTGTCAAGACATTATTTCTTTAATAAAGCAGTAGCTTGTCAAACCATTAAAAGCAGCAGGAAGCTATAAGTGACTTACTGTTTGTTAAATGAGATATTTCCTCTGTGGTGTTTTAAAGAAAGATTTCTGGGCAGGCTGTCTGTGCTGTACATAGTGTGTTAATATTTGGAAATTACAATTTATTGTGAACATTTTTAATATCACACATTTGTAAATTTTTAAAAATAACAATATTTTTTTATATTTTCTTTTGTGGATTATTTGTTGTTCTATTACATTTTGTGACATTAAAATTTAATCTTTAATAATAATAATCTGTAAAATATGTATATAATTTGATACTTGTTAAATTTTAATAATGGTATATATTTTTTTTTAGGTTGAATTTATCTCAGGAACTGTGAAGAAAACAGCTGATGTACCAAAGGGTAAGAAATGCAAAAAAAATTAATTTGATTTCAAATCAACTTCCAGTTGATTGAACTTTTTTTTAGCCACAAGATGTGATAAGCACTTTTGTCATTATTTAAAATTTAAATTTGATTTTCACATTACAATATAAATTATGACACGATTCCTGATAGATCAGCAAGGATGTATATTGAATATCATCTTGTGGTTAAAAATAAATTAATAAATGCATAATGACCAATGTACTTTTTAATTCTTTAGAAATGAAATTATGACAGAAATGGATTATTCACCTGCTGCAAGAAATTACTCGTCATATTTTTAAATTTTGAAAAGAATTTATAAATTTTAATGTTAATTATTCATCAAATTTTTTTTTTTCTTTCATAAAGCAAATTTTTATATATTGCACATTTTAAATCTTGTTAATAGTTTAATATTTTATATATATAATAATGACAGTTATTGCTGTAAATAACAATAACCTGTAATTAAATTACTGGTATGTTTTTAATGTTTTATCAGATATTCTGTTTAAAATGTTATTGTTTTAACATATTTATTAAAGATAACAAGAGAAAAAGCAAATGGGATATTGGATCATCTCAGGTTACTGTACTTCCAACAAGTTTGAAGCCAGCCACTCTTGTCAATCCTGCAAGTGTTTTGCCAGTTACTACTGCCACTGGCACTAAACCTACAGTTATCTCAGCCTTCGGAACCATTGCTAAAAAAGTAAAACGATGAGTTATTGCAAAATGAATATTCCCAAGGAAGATGTTCTTTTATAATTATACAATTATCTCAGGCAATGAAAAGAGATTTCAAGGTGATGATTTGTTCATGAGACAGCACAAGTTAAATTTCAGTTTTATAAATTAAATATATATATATATATATATATATATACATATATGCCAAAATATGGCAGAATCATTTCATAAACTTCAATCTAATATTTGCTCAGTCTCTTCATCCATATTATTCAATAATTACTGCAACCATTATGAGCATTTTCTTTAATTCATCTATGATGGATTTGTTATTAAAACTAGTTATTTTATGAATTCACTCAGCAGTTTACAAACATCATTTCTCCAGATAAACATGTGATATTCATATTATGCTTAATTGCATGCAGTCTAATAAATCATCCATAAAATATATTGTAATATAAGTTCAATAAATGTTTGTGTGTCATCTTATTTTTAAAAAAAAAATAATAGACGTAAGGTGTGAATGTTTTTATTTATTTTAAACATGAAAATTTTATTATTAATAAAATAATTTTAAAATGATTGCAGCTAACACAATTATTAATTATTTGAAGATTATATTTTTTTGATATTTAAATCAGAAACAAAGCTTATATTTAATGATTAAAATTACCTCTATTTAGAATACTAGTTTTAAAATATTTTTTTCATATTTATGTATTATAAATTTTACATTTTAACATGTTGACATATTATTAATATATAAGTTGCAAAAATTAAGGATCTAAATCCAAGTTATCGTCTAAAAATATAACAAATGTTAAAATTTCTCATTAATATAAAGTTATAAAAATTTGATTCTGATATTTGAAAAGTTATTGAAATCAATGTTATATTTATGAAATTACTTCTTTATAGAATATGATTTTATAATCAAATTATTAACAGTTTCTGTCATTAATTCAAGTAATACAATGAAAGAAACTAATGTTGCTTAACAGACATTTCTAACAAGTTAGAATAAAATCAGTGTAATTAAAATTTTATAAGTTATTATGTATAAACATTTCAAAATTCCTTTATATTTAATTTATTTTATAGTAATTTTAAATTATTTTTGGATTAATATAATCAATACATAATTGATATTAAACTTAAAAAGCTTTAAAAAATGCAGATATTAGAATATGTGGAAAAATGAAAATAATACATTTTCTGCAATATTAAATAATAATACTTATTTTAAGATTTTTTAAAGTAATGTTTACATTCTGTAAATAACAGAGTAACATCATTAATAACTTCAAATAGTTCACTTATTTTTTTAGTTTAGTGTTTATCATTTATATAAATTATACTGAAGAATTGATATTACTCATTTTTTGTAAGGTTATGTGTAAAAACAATGAAATAAATAACAGAACTATATTGTGATATAAAAGCAAAATACATTAACCTCAAAATAAATTATTAAATAAATACATTTTACACTGTATGTCAGATGAGCGACCTTTTCTGAATGTAGGCTACCGGAACTTTATAGCTTTCAACAGCCACATACATCTTTTCTTACCGAATTACCGGCTTTAAGTACTATCATACCTCATAACTGCCAGTTCACTAGGTGTTAAAATAATGTAGTTTATTCTTATCTTTTCACAAATAAGTTTAGTTTGAATGTTTTTCATAAATATCAGCTTAAATAAGGTTGCATAATGGACAGAAAATAAAAAATTATGTTGCCAAAATCCCGAGACTACATATTAGGACCTCGCAGGTTGCTTACAACTGGTGGGTATTATTGAACTATAAGAATAGTCAGTGTTATGAATTTCTTTCATTTAAACTTGTCTTAAATGAAACTAACCAAATTATAAAAAAATCTGTGGAAATTAACTTAATTCACTAATATACATAATATTCATTATTAATTCATAATATACTGTTTATTCCTTCAAAGAATATTTCAGAAACTCTTTTCATAACATAACAATTCTATCCGTACAGAATAAATTATTATTTTTAATAATAATAATAATAATTTTTAATGTAAATTTTTACTAAATTTTCATACTCTGTATATATATTTTTAATTATAAGTCTAATAGAATTGAATTTTTGTTTGCAGAAATATATATTTTTGGCATTATTAAATTCACAAGTAATGCATTTTATTAACACACAAAGAGAATTCTTTGACATATCCATTATATATCTTTGATATATCTCATTGCATTTATGACATCTTTAGACTTTTGAAACAATGTCTCTCTTAGAAGGAATCATTTTCAATGGACACAGGTTTCAAATGTGGTGCATAACTGAATGTAAAATCGGCTATTTTATTCTTCTATAAAATGGGCCATTGTCAGTTAGATTGATGATAGATAGGGACAAATGTCTAAATTCAGATTTTGAAAATAAGATTTGTATATATTCGGTCAGTGTCTTTTGTTTCAATTTCATGTGCTAAGCTCTACTTAATAGAATTTATTCATGGATATATATAGTTTTATTTTGAGTTAAGAGAGAGATTTATTTTAATACATTATTACAAGTATAATGTTTAATGATGATTTTAAAATTACCAAAATTATAGAAATGCAGCTATTATTTACAAAAATTTTAAACAGAATATTATTTTGAATATTTTACATTGCATTCTTCAGAATGATATTATGTACAGAGTATTATTCTTTCAGACTGATCTACACATAAATATGCAAGTAAATTTTCATGTAAAATTAATAAGAAATATTAATCTATCAATCAATTTTTTTTTTTTAAATGCAATATTATAAAATCATTTGTTTAATGAACAATAATAGAGTTTTCTATAGCAATAATAATTGCATAGGTTAAGTTAATAATTTCTGATACTGAAATACCTGATAACATTTCATGCAGTTTATATATGAAAGAAGTTTCCTATTTTTTTCCCATTCAAATACATTTAGAGTAGAAATAATAAAAAATGATATTTTATTTATAGAGATATAAATAGATACAATGTGTCAAACAAAGTATACTTTTTATTTTTACATAAATACAGACAGGATGCAGACAATGTATCATTTATTGTGTTCTGTCTAGATTCTTATTATTTATTCTTTGCTTAGTAAATATTATACTTTTTCTTTATTATTAATTAATAATAATATGACTTTGTATTTGTATAATTAAGTGTGCGCACATTTCACATCCTACAACAAACTTTAAATAAGAATTGTTTTCTTGCAACAAATGCATTGAAACTTATGATATTTTCTAATTATATCATAAGAATTTGATAAGTTTCAACACTTGAAAGCCAGAAATTAAACTCATTAGTCTCATAGAAATTTTGTGAATTTTAATTGCCTCCAAATACATATATAAGGATATAGCCTCATATAATTTATATATAATCTATCATCTAATATTGTAATTTTTTGTGTAGTTTACCCAATAAAACAAAATTTTAAGCCAGTGAATAACTAAGAAGATTAATAATAAATGGAAGTAATATGGAAAATTTTAATTTTTTGAATAATTTAAAGATAAAAATTATAGGAACTAAATAATGAAATTATTCATCATGATAATGTATCCAGTTATACTGCATTAATGAAAATATGTATTATTTTAGTATATTATGCATACAAGAAGGAAAACAAATTTATGATTTAGTTTATCTGCAAAATAACTATAATTTATTCATAAAGTATTGTTTAAAAATAAATAAATAAATTCATCTTAAATTTTACAAGTTTCTCACCATGTTTTAGATACAGCATATGATAAAAGAGGGAGTAGAGTTACTTCTATCTGCTACTTGTTTACACCACAAAATATCTATAAGATTGCTGGTATTTTCTACCTAAAATAGAAGATTAATGACTATAATTCAGTTTTTATGCGCTACCATTATACTCTTCCACATCATTAATCATTATTTATCTTCGAAGACAAATACAAAAGTAGACATTCAAAATATTCGCCGAAGAAAAATTGATAAAGTAATTTTAATATTTTAGTTATTTAACGAATTATATATATACTAGTTCATTTATTTTAAATAGGTTAGATTGCTTAGTACAAATAATTTAAATTGGATCCTGTAAAATATTTATGAAGTTGGTTAATTTGAAATGTTAAAATTATTTATGACCGTCTGATTTTAATGTGCGGTCATATTAAATCTCATTTATATGGACTAGATTATAAACGTTGATGTGTACTAAAGTTATGGTTTTCTGAATAACGTTGGCAAAAATAAATTTGCTGCTATAGCGCTTTCAATGTGCACTGGACCATGCTTCCATCATATGATATTTGGACTCGAACGGGCTTTATGTTACGAATTTTATCGATTCCTTGTTATACTTTCACTTCTAACGACATCAATCTTACGACCAACTGTTGACATTTCGTAATTTCAGCTCCAATAGATGTTTCTCGCGAAAACAGGTGCCATCAGAAATATGCGTCATTACTCTAGCGCTTTGTTGCTAATAGATAAGAAAACAATTATAAACTTACTTTTTCCTCCTCTGAAATACTATCCATGGTGGTAACTAGAACAGGAAAAACGTAATAAGAGTTCGGGTATATTTATATAACTAACAAACTGAATAATTTTAAAAGTCCCGAAACACTAAGACACGAACAAAGTCGTGTGTGACGTTCTGTTAAGAGATGTTATTAAAAAATAACTTTTATATTATTAATTATTTTTAAAAAGGCAAGAGGTTTAATTTTGAGGGTAGAGATGAGTTTTTGTTTTTTAATTTGTAAATGCCAGCAACGGATAATCGAGATATGACGCTCGGTCTTTAACACCGAAATTTAATAGCACCAATACCCCCAGTGGTGTGTTGTAAATGTTTAACAATCGGTTCTATTCGGACGCGTAAGAGGAGAGAGGAAAAGGGATAAACGGGTGTAGAATTTCCAGAAATCTTTTTTTAAAAGTATTTTTTCAAATACCTGTGTGTTTAAAAATGTTTTGGAATCCTTTTTAAGATGAATTGTTTATTCTGGAATTAATTTTTAAACATTTTTCCTTTATTAAAGAGGAAAAGACTAAAAAAATTTTCCTAAATTTAGTTTCGTAAAGTTCTAATTTATGAAATATAGATATGATTCTTATTGTTTTCAAAAACACATATAAAAGTCATGGTTTTTAATATGTAAAACAATGCGAATTATTAAAATGCAGGCGTTGACCATATGACAGGCAGCTAGGCGCATCATTATATTCAATATTTATGCAGAATATATGTAAAAAATGCTTAATAATAAATAACTTACGTGTGGTCTGTATATTGCTATTGGAAGTAGAGTATTATTAAAGATACACCAACGATTTTATTATTTTTGAATGCTCTAATGACCTTACAAACACGATACCCAGATTAACAGAAAGTAAATTTTTTTAAAATTATTAATAAATAGATTAAAAATTGAATTGTGATTAACATTACAATGGCATCTTCG